GGGAACTGTCTGTGGAGTCTGGAGTTAAACACTGAACAATTCCAGGGTTACATGAAAAATAGAGAAATTAAAATCCTGAGCCATCACCATCAGCCATGAAAAATCTGTTCCTCCTTCAGGAGCAAACCTGGGATGACAAAATTCCTTCAATATTTTTGTTGTGTTTTCCAGTGGAGACCTCCAGGTGACCGGCAGCGCCCACTGCACCTTCAACACGGCTCAGAAAGCTGTGGGGAAGGACAACTTCACCCTGATCCCCGAGGGCACCAACGGCACCGAGGAGAGGATGTCCATCATCTGGGACAAGGCTGTGGTGGGTGACACTGGTGCCTGAATCTGGCTCACCTAAAAAAACCATCATCAGACAGAATTGACAGAATCAAAAGAAAATTTTGATTTATTGCAGGGAATTCAGGGCCATTGAGGGCAGTCCCAGCCCAGCCAGGGGCTGCACCCACAATGGACCATGGCTCACGGGTTTTTCACATTTTTTATTTGAATTTTCCCACAATGGACCACGGCTCACGGGTTTTTCACACTTTTTCAATTTTCCCAAATTAGACCACGGGCCACAGGTTTTTCACACATTTTATTTTAATTTTCCCACAATGGACCATAGCTCACGGGTTTTTCACCCTTTCTCACTTTTGTCCATTTGCACACGGGGCCTGAATCCTCCAATTGCAGCTGCAGCCAATGCAGTCAAAAACTCCAACTTGGCTCCCCCCAATTCTCTGTTCTTTCCATCTCTTGGGGCCTGGCCCAGGGAGGTGTCCTTGAGTTTGGGGCTGCAGAGGAATTGTTTTGTGTCAAAATGGGAGAGCAGGAGCTGGGAACTGTCTGTGGAGTCTGGAGTTAAACACWGGAGAATTCCAGGATCACAYRGAAATAGAGRAATTAAAATCCTGAGGYATCAYSRCCTGYSRTGRGWTTGAGTTTTTGGMTGTTCAGAGGGGAAGGARCTCAGGAWTTYGTTATTTTCTCATYSTGATCCTCCCACTTGGGTTTTTTTCCCCTTTTTTTTGCTGCTGGCTCCCCCAGTGACCCCGTGCTGTCCCCCCAGGTGACCGGCAAGATGGACGAGAATCAGTTTGTGGCCGTGACCAGCACGAACGCGGCCAAAATCTTCAACCTGTACCCGCGGAAGGGCCGCATCGCCGTGGGCTCCGACGCCGACCTGGTCATCTGGGACCCCGACAGCGTCAAGACAATCTCTGCCAAGACCCACAACATTGTAAGGGGGTTGTGTTCCCGTGTTCCCTGCTGTTTCCTGCTCCCTTTTCCCACATTTCTG